AAGTCCACTCGAAACTGCTTCGCGGTGATGCTCGTGCTGTCCTCGAGGTCTTTATCCTCCAACAGCTGTGCCCAAGCGCATGTCTCCACGTCTTTCCTATGTCTCTGCGACCGCGGAAGTCTCTCGCGGGGCAGGTCGTTGGCCGGATCCTCCTCCAGGAGGTCCTCCTGCGACAAGTCGTTGCGTTGGACCTCATCTACCGCAACCAACGCCACGGCCAACGCCGTTGCTGGCAGCAGGGCATCCATACCGGCGGCGGCCATCGGAAGAGAGCCCGGGCTGCTGTTGAAGGTTAGAGTCAAGCAAGCGCCGCTGCTGCTGCCAGCGAGCAGCGCCAGAGACGGCAGCCACTTCCACATGGGAGATGCTGGTGGGTGTGTGGGTGTGTCCACGGTGTCGCGAGATTCAAAAAAAGGACAACATAAAAAGGACAGGGCTACCCTGTCACAAAGTTGCCCAAAAAGGGACAGGATGGGGTGATCTTTTTTCGCTGTCCCTTTTCGGGAGGTTCAAAAACGCAAAAAAAGACCACGTAACAAGTGGTTTTTGGTCAGTTGTCCCTTTTTGAGAAAAGGGACAGCTCAAAAAGAGACAGCGTAACAAGTGGCCTAACGGTCATTTTCCTGTAATCTTTTCCAGAGTTGCTCAATTACTCCTGGAGTTATCATCATATTGCCCCACGACAAAAATTCAAGGTGAAGAATCTGGAGAAATGCTTCTTTTTTTTGTTCACAGGATTTTGATTTTTTTTTAAGTTCTTCTTCACCACGCTCGGGTATGGTTCTGCCGCAGTAAAATACTTCTGAAAGAGAGCTTTGCAAATCTGCAATTTTTTTTGCGGGGTTCGCCGTAGTTGTTGAGACATGGCGATTCTTGTGGGATGAAGTGCCTTCTGCATTGATGGTAAAGGAGCCATATCTTTCTCAAAAACGAAAACCCCGCGCTGTGGATAGGCTTATTCGATCGCTGCTGGCGAGAGCTTTCTCACGAATATTTTGGTTCCGCTCAATTTGTTGAAGAAGGTTCTTTTTTTTTTCAAAGCACCCGTATTCGGGCTCACACTTTCCGGCACTGTAGCGTGCCATGGTGGACCGCCTACGCGGGATTTGAAGAGATTTTAAGATTATCTAGAAAAAGGCAGGGGGCACGCAGACCCTATCCTTAACCCTAACCCCAAAGCACGGATTGAATACTTTATCCCATATGTTTGCTTAATCGATTTTGCTGCGTAGACTAACGGCCACGTCGTACTATTTCGTGGAAGTTGAAGAACCCTGCTGCGGTGTACATTGTCGGTGTAACGAACCACACGGCGATTGGTCACATGAGTGGTTGGCGGTTCGAGCACAATATTTCGCTAATACGCTGCCAATGTACCGCAACCAAAACTTATTCAAAGGCTTGGGTGCAGGATTTTCGTGACTAGCACGGCGTGTACAGTAGTAGTCCAAGACAGGGCAAAACGCTGCTGTGTGCACACAAAACACGACTTTCAACTGAACATCAAAAATGTCTGCTCAAAGATCTAGGGCGGCGGCTCACGAGAAAACAACATAGGTTGACGTGCCGCGCCCACTCTCGCCGAGCGAAGATAGCCGAGACTGGCGGGGGGAGCTCAGAACGAGACCCCCCCCTAAAGGTCGCCAAGGCCGGGGGTTTACTATACCACGGACGTAACGAGCGAACGGCACTGGTGCTTTCGGAAGCCGGCGCACGCACCGCACAAGACGGGCGCGCGAAAGGCGACCGAGCCATTCGCCCTGACTTGCGCATGGAAGATGGTTGGTTCGATGTTCAGTGTACACTGGGTAAAGAAGTCTACCGCTGTAGTTTCTCGATCCAAGGATGCAGACTGTTCCCCTTGTTTCTACGTGTGGGCCGTTGTGGGTCTCTCGCTACCGAAGGAAACAATGGGGCACTGAACGGTCAAATTGTTCGAAACCTAGCAATGTACGAAAAACCAACATGAGGCACTCATGGCACAACACACAACACCAAAACGGGAGTCAGATCAAAAGGTTGGTATGGATAAGAGGGTGGTGGCTTTCAAGGAGACGCCGAAGGCGCCATCAGGACCGAAAGAAAGACCACCGACGAGTTTTTGAGAATATGACAGTGTGGGGCTGGAGGTGCAGCTGAAACGCACGCATAATTCAGCACGAAAATACTTTACGACCGCTCGGCAAGTGGCGCGCGCCTCACCGCCTACAACTTTGCATTGACGGCTGCCGTGATGTAGGCGCCGCAGCATCCAAGCTGTTTCATAAACGGGCAAGAGGTGTGTGGTAGTTCAAAGTTCGAGAGAGAGAGAGAGAGAGAGCGCGCGAGGAAGTCGATCTCAACGCGAAAGCCACCAACGCCTTCAACAGACCCAGATGCATGGCCCACCTGAGTTTTCGTGCAGCTCGTTTGCTGGCATGTCTTCCGCAGTCGGAGAAGCCTGGCCACTCATAGCGCTTCTTGGCGATCAGGACATCGTTACTTGTGGTCAATGTTGTGTTTCACGTGTTGGACAGGAACCATTCCTGTTTCCAGCAACAGGGCTGGTTCGTGGTGCTCATGGCTTGCCTCATCAGGATGGCGAGGTTTGTAGGGTATGGGCAAACGTGCACCGTGGTGCAGTACAGAGTAGTGATGCGGGCGGTGGTGGTGTGGTGAGAGGCATCGCACCACCAAGATGCGGCGAAACAAGGGTGCAAAGGGGGGGGTATCCCGTACTGAAACAATCACAGCCGAGGGGCCCCCCAACCACTGAACCAACCAATGGTATTTGCATATAACAAAACAATCAATGCTTGATGGTCTTGTCATATACCATTGGAACCAACCGAACCAGCCGGCACGGACAACGGACATTACCTCCCACCCCGCTCAGCTCTATCTCCGTTACCGTTCAGTTAAGTCATCATGTGTTAGCTGTGGACCTGCTACACTGATGCTGATGTGGCCAGGACATCTAATCCCGTGTTGCTGTGTAGCGAGTGTTTCGTACTTGCATGTGTAGACAGACTGGTGACAGGTCTACATGTAGCACAGCAGTGAAGGACACTGAAACAGGCGCATTCACCTCTCAAGTTACTACAGCTATGTAGTGCACACCACTTTGGAAGTATTTGCAGCGGAGTTGAACTTGTGATCAACAGCGACAGCTTGGGTGTGTGTGTGCGCCGTGTACCACACTGGATGTTCCTGTAACGATGTTGGGGACTGAAACTGACTGTTCGTACCATCGAAACTCTACCTGAGCGGACGGAAACAGGAGGGCATCCTGCGTTGCTGTACTGACTGTGTAGCATAGTCTTTCGGTCAAGTGCACTTCCTGTGCAGCCTACCGGGATAATCATCGTCCCGGGAAGGGATATTTGAATGGTACGCATAGCGAGCCCCACCGACGAAGATGATGCAGTGATGCAATACACAGCGTTGACACCCCTGAGGCTCGCCACAGGTACTGTACCAGGTAGGTTCTGTCCGTGACCTAAATACAGGGAGAATGGGCGAGTGTGAGAAGAGATTTCACAAGCAATCGGATTCCTTTTACCTTCTACAAGTACTCCTGTTTATACTTGATCGTGTAGTCACCTTGGTAAACCCCTGAACTGCAGGTTTGACGGGGAAACGAAAACGGCCTTGAGCTCTCAGGCCGACAGCTTCCGAACGCAACCATGACCGAGGAAAAGCCGATGACCGTTAAGGAGCGGATGGCAGCTTTAGCTCGTGCTTCCGGACAGAGTTCAGGTATTGCATATGTTACCGAGAGCGACCCTCAGAAACGGATGTGTTGCAACGGGCCCCGTGCTTGCGTAGGATCTCAACTGCTCCAGAAGCTCTAGGTAGACATGCGTATGTTTTCGTGTTCGGTGAATTGTCGGACACAAGCGTGGCATTGTGGCAGCCATTGTCTCGACACTTGGGTTGCACGCCGGAGCATTGCAAGCACTCAGAGAAACGCCGGAATAATTTCTAGCACTTTATGCATAACTTCAGCACGAGCAAATCAGCATCGAGTTGTTGCGTGCGGCTACTCCGCAGGCCACATGATATGAGGCACTGCTGTGTCTGCCGCCATTTTCAATCGGGGATTTGTAGCCCCAGTTAGGTATGTCACGTCTGATATCCGGCAGCAGGAAGTTGGCCCGTTTTCAAACCTGCTTGGGCTCGCTCGCGGATGGCATAGGTTTGTACTTCAGCAGTCGCCCGATTTCCTTACACATCCCCCGGGGTGCGGCCTTAAAAGCTGTGTCTGCCTGAGGCAGGCAGGTACCGAGGTCTACCTTTCGACTGCCACGTTCAAATACCCACGGGAAGGCGCTATGCGCGTTTCCGGGGCACACGGCTGCATCGCTGACGGCCTTGCCGTCCACTGAGAGTCGAACCCAAACGGCCGATTTATTCTCATGTCGCGTTGCCACATCCATTCGCACACGTCGTTCCTCCCCCCCCTCCAACTCTGTGGAGCCCGGCGTCTCGACGCTGGGCCTCCTTACGCCCCGCAAGGAGAGAGGCTCGCTCGCGAGCTCTTCCTCCGCGTGTGTTGGCGGAATCACGTTGGCGCCCCCCCCGGTGTTTGCCATCGGGATTGGGTTTTCGTCGCTTGACAAAGACGTTGTAAAACAAGCCAATCCACTTCGTGAACTCGGCAACCAGGTTACCGTTTTTTTTTTTGGCGGTAACCATAATGGTGGTCGAGTAGATCATGTTGTACGGGGTGGAGAACCCTCGCTCCGCGCAAAGGGGATGATCGCACCACGTTGTGTCAAAATGTTCAAGCACCCTCGAGGCAGTTACACAATGCTTACAGCTGTCTCTGGAAGTGAAAGCACCAGAAAATAAATTAAGTCATACGCAGCTGTCATCCGTACGCAAGGAAGTAAGCACAAGATGCCGAACACCCTTGCCAGGATGCAGCGCACCC